GGAAGAGAATAATCTGTCAGTTTTCCAGAGCACAGATGTGGCTAACAAAAGAGAGCTAAAGGGTGCTGGTATGAGAGCGGGACAGTAATAAAAATCAAAAAGACCTCCAAGCCTTCAAGTACAGAAGGGACTGATGAGCAGAGAAAGGGGCATATTTGTAGTCTGACCACAAGACAGGTGTAAAAAAAGCCTAACTCTTTTCCTGAGGATTCTAGCAGAGACTGTGCTGAGTTTGTTGCAAAATGGGAAGTCAGTGTTAGACTGAGGAAGAGCCTAAAGATAATGACTCTTTGTTCAAAGAAATAATAGGCAAAGTTTGTTTAAAAATTGTTGTTCAGTTTTTAATAAAGGCTGTTTTCTTGCATGCAGTTTCCATAAAACGTAGTTTTAAAGAAAAATAAAGTTTGTCTTTGAGATGTTAGCCTATGGGAAGATACCAGGACTAATCCACATCAGAACTAGCTGACTTGGGGTTGAATCCTACCACTTCCTTGTGTAATTCATTTAGGACCCAGTATTTTTTTTTCATTCAAGTGTTGTAAGAGGAGCAAAACCTGATCCACGAAGGCACTTAATTGAAGAGAATTAGTGTGAATGTATACTTGCAGTGTTTATCCCATTACTGCATGAGATATGAGTTAAAGATTACTAGAATCCTAACCTGTGCCCCATAGGTGTGTTTGAGTAGGGTGGGATAAAAGCCAGTTAAGCAGTGTTTTCCTGCTTTATAAGCATCTGATCCATCAAGTTTTAGATTCCAGAGAAAAGTACTTGTCTAGATGGAGCAATAATCTGATCTTGTGTAGCAAATCTAATTCAGTAATCATTCCCTTCACTGACTTTCAGTAAGGTACTCAAGAATGAATATAAATAGTGTAATTCTTTGTAAGTTATTGATTGCAATTATGTGAATGATGATGAACAGCATTAGCACTACCATAGCAGAATGACAGTGTTCCTCAACCTTCCCCCAAATAAATGATATAGCTCTGTAAACTAGTGTGCAGACTTAAAACAAAGATGAATAGGTGTTATGAAATAATCTTGAAGTATGTATTTTATCTTTATAATAAGTTACTTTGTGCAAAAAAAAAAAACCCAACAAATGAACCAAATAGTTGAACGGAAGAATGACTTCATTTATTATTCTGGTGCTTCTGTGGCAACACACAGACGCATCACTGAACACCAAAATTTGTATCAGTCAGTGTTGTTTTTTTTTTTTTTCCCCCTAAAAAGAAAGTGGTGGGAGCTTACAACCAGAAATAACCTTCTAGAAATACATGGAATACTGCTCAAATACAGATCATGGAGGCATTAATTTGTAGAAAAAAATCAACAAGCAAACTTAGCAGCAATGTAACATACCTTTTTGAGACCTGCCTTTCACTGAGTTTTCTTGCCCGTCTTGAACATGTCTATGAGCCATGTAACGCTTTTCAAAAAAGCTTAATTTAGTTGTGAATGTACTAGTTCAGGAGGTGGATTGGGCATCTGCAGGGAGCTACTCCTACATTGAGTGGTTTTAAGCAGAGCATATTGCCATACCACATCACTGCTATGATTATAAGAAATTCATGTCTCATGCTTGTTTGGGAAGAGAGCTAATAGTGCCATGCCCAATTAAGAATTACCTCTTGGATCCATGTGATGTACTGCATTGTTTAGTACAAATATAATTCTGATTCAGCAGGCATATATCATATACCACCATTTTATCCCCAGGGGTACATGAGTAAGATACTTTATATTGTTTGTTTCAAGGAAGAGGGTAAGAGCTTTTCTCCGCTTTTTTTTAACTTCCTGTGTTTGGATTGAAGTTAACAGCGCTTTTCACTAAAGTACTGTTTTTCTTCAGTCTTTTTATGGCTTAGAACCCAGCATGCAAAAGAGTAGAGCTCAGTCACATAAGAAGAGGTTATGCAAGCCAAAACAAAGCATCTAAATTGTTTATCTCTCTGATTTGCTCACTTCCTGATGTTTAAAACAACCCTGCAGAGTGTTTTTAGCAAGTGGTACTGTTTTCTAAAAGGTAGTGGAGTGTCAGCCTTACAAATCAATCCTGTTAAAGCTCAGGTCACTTTTAATACTTTTTAACCAAAGATTTATTTGGCCACTGAAAATAACTTTATGGTGGTTGAAGAATGTATTTGGCATTGTTACCAGGTTTAATGCCCCTAAAAAGGGGCTTCACTTCTTGCAAATACAGAGTATGAGTACTTTTTCGAGTACAAGGACAGAAGCTATTGAAGACCAGTATATATCAAGAGAAGGAAAGTGAAGAAGTATTAACTTAGTAGATACAGGAAACTGGCATTTGAAAAGGACATGTTTCCTGAACATTGTCAATATATCCTTACAGGCTGGGAAATAATCTAAGCCAGAAAAATTATTCAGCTTAAATACAGGACGATGGGCTTCTGTGACTTTTATTTGGAATTAAGTCTGAAAAGACTCCAGGCATTTTTCAAAAATTCTGTTCATAAAGATGTAATCGTAGTATAATCTCATGATGACTTTGGCATGTCTGAAACAGGGATATTGTCAGCTGCTTATTGCTGCTGGTGCTATTTTATATGTAAATTCATAGACCATGAAAGTTACACTCAGAATTGGGGTACTCTTATATTGGGTCCAGTGTAAAGCTCCATAACTAGCATATGTAAAATGGTATGATCATGAATGTCCTGGGTTTAGCAGCAGCAGTCATTTTTTTCTCCTTCTTGGTAGTTGGTGCAGTGCTGTGTTTTGACTTTCAGGCTGGGAACAGAGCTGATAAAAATGATGTTTTGGTTTGGCCAAGGCCTTTGTGAGCCTCATGCTCTGCCAGGGAGGAGGGAAGCTGGGAGGAAGCAGGGACAAGACACCTGACCCAAACTGACCAAAGAAGTATTCCATACCACAGCACGTCATGCCCTGGATGTAACTCGGGAGTGACCCGGAAACGGCTAGGGTGGACGGCAGGGTTGGAGGAGGTATCGGTCGGTGCTTGGTTCGGCTGGGGGGCGAGTTATCAGTCGGCTGGTGATGAGGTGTTGTATTCTCTTCCCTTGTTATTTCCTTTATCATTACTATTATTGGTGGCAGCAGTAGTGATTTGTGTTATACCTTAGTTACTAAACTGTTCTTATCTCAACCCATGGGAGTTGCATTCTTTCTGATTCTCCTCTCCGTCCCTCCGAGAGTAGGGGAGGGCAAGAAGGGGGGCGCGGGGGAGTGAGTGGACAAGCTGTCTGGCATTGGTTAAACCACGACAATGAATCTGGAAAATACATTCATTTCATGAGTCTCATTCCTTTGCTTAACCTTTCTTAGCAGCCATGTTTTCTTATGTTCTTATTACAGTCCCTCTGCAGAAGAAAAAAAAAAAAAAAAAAGCCCACACAAGAAAACCCAAAACAGTGTCATTTAAAAGATGCATGCAAAATGCTAGAACTAGCCTAACTTGGTCTGAAACTGAATAATTCCCTGGAGACGCTGCCAGGGCTGACAAAGAAAGCACAGGGCGAGTTTCCCAGCACTCTGATGCAAAGACTTACTACAAGGAAGTATGTTAATGAAAAGCCTGAAATCTCTCTGCAGTCACAAATCGATCCCTCTGTTAAGTATGTATGTAATCCTGTGTGGTGCACAATGCATTGTACACTAAATGTGAAATACAATAGAGAAACTTAGGGTATTCTCTAAACACAATAATATACTTAGGTTCTGGCATCCAAAATTAAAGTAAAAACCCAGAATAAGATTAATGGACAAGGAAGGGTTTAGATCATCTAAAAGGAGATGCTGAACTTAGTTGCCTAGGGCTAATCAGAGTTTGTCAGAAGGCTTGAGGTGATGTTTTGCTCCTCTTCAGGATGTAAGTAAATGCAGTGGATGCATCTCTGCATCATGGATGGTGTTTCTGCATCAGAGTTCAGTTTGGCAAGTATGTTTAGTAGAACTGTTCAAGGCTAATATATTTTAGAATGGCATGATAATCATGCACTAGCGTATTCTCTGTCCAGTCACTGAAATAACTTTGGCTATGTTTTCTGTGTTTCTGTACTGAACCCATTGCTATTGATGAACAGTGTATTCAGAGTATGCTTACCAAATCAAGCGTCTCAGTCCTCCAAGATGTACCTCTACACTAATTTTTATATCAGGTGGGTATTAGATGGGCACTAGGTTCCTAGCTTTTCTGAGAGAGGTATCTCAGGTCAAGTCTGAAAAACTAAACTAGGTGTGCGCCACAAAAGCAATATAAAGATAGGTTTTTCTTTTTAGTTCAGTTGCTTTATTATACCAAGATCAGGAATATATGTTTAAAGTAATTTCAGTTTAGGCATCTGTGCACCTCTGAGGTTTGTTGTTTGAGGGTTTTTTAAATTGTTTTGCGTTTTTTCAGTTCACACCTGGGTTTCAGTTTGCTGTTGCCTTGTGACAGCAAATATGCAACCTAACTTCTCGCTTTCTTACGGTACAAGAAGAGGCAAACATCTTGTACAAATAAATTATTAAGATAGGCTAGTTATAAAAAGAGTGGTCAACCTGAAGAATATAATTCTAGAGAATTCACCAAACCTCCATATTATGTCAATTGTATTACTGTATACAGAAGCAGAATGATTGCATAAGGTAAAAGTATATTCTTTGATTAATGTGTTACATTTCTTCTGAAGACCAAATCATAATGTATTAAATAAAATGTCTGATTCCTGCCTAGCTCCAAATGAAATGCGTGGATATTTTTTCTCCCTCAAGGCAAAATTTTTAGCTGCTTTGGGAAGCATAATTACAAAGACAACTGCCATTCAAGAAATAAAGCCATAAGACTTAGGGTTTTTTTCCTGTTTCAGGGAATTGGAATCAGTTAATTAGATCAGTGAAATAAGTTTAATAATTGGCAAAACTTAAGAACAATTTGAAGGGTTTTTCAATCTCTCAACAAAATCCAATAAGCATTTGAAAGAAAATCAATGAGAAATCCTAAAAGGCTTCTTATTTCTTTCTCACAGAATTCTAGCTTTCTTTCCGAAGCTCTTTTTCCTGTACATACAACAAAAACTGAAGAACTGGATCCCTCCTTCAGCCTGCACGAGAACATTGCAAAGGTAACAGAAATTGAGATCTAATTTATACATGCTTTCCTTCACGTAGCCAAATTTGAATTTGTTTATAGTTTTGAAAGATATTTTTTTCTTGTATATACTTTGAAAATAGTAAAAATTTGTGTAGGTTTTTTTTCAGTCAGATTCATCTTTGGAAAATACTGTTATATTGGTCAACTTTTGTAAGCAAAATCCTTTTATATGCAAATGATTCATTTTCTGTGATTCAGCTGTATTTTGTATGGTTCACATTACACTTCCTGGCACGAGTGCAGAGCAGTAAACCTCACTAGGTGGCAGGAAGTAGTAGGCATGTTGCTGTCGATTTTGTCAGTGAAGAGGTCTCTCTGAGGGCACCTTCGCATGCACTTTATGAGCTGTCATTGGGGTGCTCAGAAGGGAGAAAGGGGTGGCCATCCCAGGAATCTGGAGAGTCTCTACACAGGGAATGCTTCAAAAGTTAATGTATTCTGACTCCCCTCTTGTCACTCCAATATAATACTCCCTCTGTGTTATTTATTAATACTCCTTACTCTAGACTACTCTTTCTTTACTCTGTCCAATCAGCAAGCCCGATTTCTGTAAAGACACATGGCTGCAACTGAGTCAAGCTTAACAGATATGTGTGCTTCTTATACCTGGATTTCTTATAAACCTGAGCTTTGTAGACCTCACAAACAGATTTTGGAGCTACTTATTTGAAGCTACTTCTCTTGGAAAAGCAGCTACTGTTGAGATATTTCTTATGGCAATAAGAAAAATAAATTCACAAAGAGCAGACATTCAGATTTAGCATGTAGGTAGTTCAGAATCTTTGGCAAAATAGGCAGTGGCTGATCTTGTAGGTTTTAGGGTTTTGTTTGTTTGTCATGGGTTTTATTTAAAAAAATTGAATACATATTCCTAGACATTGTTTTGAAGCTTGGCAGATACTGACAGTTATGGAACAACTGTAAGACAAGAGTCTTCTCTGAAACCCTTTAAATGGAATTTCTGGCATTTTAAGCCATCCTTGGTGCCAAAGTGACTGAAAACATTCACCAAATTTCTTTCCAGAGACTGATGGAACTGGGTGTGTGTTTATTTGCTACACAATTGATTTGCGATTAACTAGCTGGTGTGTGAGAGGCCCTATATAATCTGAATCATCTATATTTTTGTATTTGCTATATATTGTTAACGAGCAGAGAAAAAAATTATTAAATGGATGACTTCGAGCATTTTGATCCTGTTTAAATCATTACACATTATTTCAAGTGCGGTCATTGAGCATTACAATTTTTCTTTGACAAAACCTGATGAAAATTGCATTAGGATATGACTGTATTTCTGTTTTGCTTTTCAGACTGTAGCCCAGGATGCTGTTATAAAGATGAATAGTATATGCAACAGTAGATGCTGTTATAAAGATGAATAGTGCATGTAAGTGGAGTGAGGCCCTTTAGCTGGTAGTTTTGTCATCTTTACCCTAGCTTAATTATTTTGAAGTAGTTTCTGAATAGTTTGAAGAGCAAAAATTTTCTAAATTTCATCTGTAGTTGATGCTTTTTTCCAGTTAGTTGTTACCGTGTGGTTCACTCCACTCCTCCCCCCTCAGTGTCTGAGCCAACATTGTCTTTCTCTTCTCCTGCAAAATGGGCTTCCCTTTGTCCTTCCTTTATCCTAGTGTTTGCCGTCTGTTCCAAAGTGTTTCCAATGTGAAATGTCCTGAAATGTATACAGTATTTTACATAAGGCCATAGTATAGCTTTGTGTTGTAATATTTATCGAGCTTCATACCTGAGGTGACGTCATATCAACTTTTTCCTTGGTAAGAACTTCTTTCAGCCCTATGTTTGATTCTAGTGGCTGCATGTTAGTGCAGACAAGCTGCTGCATATGTAGTCTGAATTCTAAAGAGTTATCTTATTTTAGAAATTTCCTTTTTTAAACTGAGAATGCTTTCCATGATTTGGGCAACCTGAAAAGTTCCTGGGACATTGGTCATGGTGGTGGTTTTTCCTATCTCCATTATCAAAACTCTAAATATGTCCTGTGTATGCTGTGCACATAATTCTCAATGTGAGCCCTTTAAGGAGGGGAAGGGGGGGGGGGGGAATTATGATTTATTTTTTTAATTTGAGAAGAAAAAAATATCAGTTTGGCTGTAATTAAAACATCTGTAACTATTAAAGGAAAGGAAAGGAAATTTGAGTTACATGGAGGTACAAATCTTTTAAACAGTATCTAAATTGCACAGTTCAGTTGATCGGTTATCCATGGTCAGTGTATGACTGCTAGCAGAATTCTAGGTATTATACTGTGCACATGAATGATGCATGATGCTTTCTGATTCCATAATTTTTGGTTCTAGTAAAAAGTGCATTGTTAACATGTATTCTATTTACCTGTTACTGTATATGCCTGATGGTTGTCTTTGAGCTCATACAGGTGAAATTAAATAAGATACATTTTTATTTGAGTGAGAGAAGTAGATGAAATGCAGGAATGTTATATATCCTGAAATACCATTTCATCTTGTATCGTTGAAAACAGAGCTTTGTTGGGTTTTATAAGCAAGCTAAAAGGAAAACCATTTTTGTATTCATGAAACTACAGAAATTCTGATGCAGTTCTCTGAGCACCTTGAAAACCTTACAGTTTGAGTGACCAAGACTTAGTTTCTTACTGAAGTCTTTAAAGTAAAAATATTAACTGGATACGGGATTTAAAGGAAATGCTATAACTTATTTAATGCTATAACTTATTTAGTTAAAACTAGGCACTCTAGATGCTATTCTATAATCTGAAACCTTCATATTTTCATGGTGGTACTGTGAACAGATGAAGCCAAGTTGTATCTTCAGAAGGTTATAAATCTCCAGCTTTATATTAAATCACTCATACTTGAAAAAAATAAATCCATAGTGAGAGGCTAGCTCACAGGTAGAGAATTTAGACTTCTCAGTTGGAAGTTAATGCTCCTCAACACATACATGCCAACTGACTGTACATGCTCCATTGTAATTGCAAATAAATTAGGTATCATAACTGCTTCTGAAATTCTAACTTTTAATTTCAAAAGACTTTTTACCCAAATTTTTTCATGTTAAAAAATATTCAAATATAATGAATTAAACAGTAATTTTATTGTTTTGTTGTTTCTTTTATTTAGAATTGGTTAATGAAAATATTTGAAACTGTAACTTTTTATTCTTGTTACCAAACATATTTTATTAAAAATTTTGACAAAATAAAAATGTCATATTCCAACCTGCCTTATTCACATAAATATCTGGTTATTTTAGCACTATTTATCCAAATATTCAAACCCTTTTTTACAGAACCAGAGTAGTGCAAAACACTGTTAATGAGCTATAATGACATGGAAGACTGCGAAAATCTTCATTTATCAAGTTTTCCATGATATTAGGTTGTAGAAGTTAAAATTGTAGGAAGCTGAAGTTGAGAAAAGACCTGTGATATTCTGGAGATACAAATCTTGGAAAATAAATCCACAATATTGTAGGTCAGTAGTTGTCAGCTTATTGTTGACTGAGTAATATTCTGCTATATCTGAAGTAAAGACTTTGTGATGTTCAGAGGGCTGGCATGAGATTAGGATTAGACCCAGGAAATTCTATGATGTGCTCGTATATTAATGTAATTCCTTGTGCTTCAATGATTGCTAATTTGACTATAGCATCCACGTTCAGTAAATAACTTTTAACAATAACTTTTGCTTCCGTTAATAATCGTTGTATTTTGTTTCCTTTGGCAAATCTTAATGACCAAATAAAATTATGCTTAAACAGGCAAGAAAAAGTGAAGTTTCATAGCACTAAAAAAAAAAATCCATTTTCCATATGTAGAAGTACGTATTTTACAGCTGCTTATGTGAGAGACTTTGTTTTCAGAATTACAGTCTCAGTTCCTTTAGTGACCACCTGCAAAGAACAAAGGCATTCCTTACAGCTGAGTGTTGCAGTACAAAATTTAGTGGTATCTCATGTGAGGTTTGCAGACCTTATAATTTCAAATGTGTTTTCTAATACCTATATCAAGTGTTAAAATGGAGAAATTGTGTCTGTGTGACAGAGAATGGATTTTCCCATCAGACTAGGAGAAGTTAGGTGAAACTCCACTGTTATCAAATGCATACTTGAAAAAGTATGTGCTGTTCTTCAAGAAGTTTCACCAGTGTTATTCAACACCATTTTTCATCGTAACTAGTCAGTTGGAGTTATTAACAATTTTGAAAACACTTAAGAAGTATGCTCACTAGAGTAGCCTAATAAGGCTGGGATTATGCAGTTCTAAAATCTTTAATGGCAGTCCCCCATCAGGGAGTGCCACTGGAGCCACTTAACCAATATCAGGCATGGAATAATAATAAACTTTTATTGATTTTTACTTTGGCAGGCACCAAAGTGTTGAAAGGTATGCCAGAAGTGACATAATTGGTTTTATAATGAGTTATGGGTGCTGACAGATAATTCTTGAGAAAATTATTAGTGATCCTCATTATTCTACACTTCAGTTATGGAGCTGCATAAAGTAGAACTAACAACCATAATGGAATTAACTTCTAAACATTAAATAAAACAGCAATAGGGAGAAGTGTTTGCATTTTTAGGGGAAATAAGGAGTCTTTTATGTAACACACTGTGTTTTTTTCCAGTTTTTTAAAAGATAAGCACTTCCAGGAAAATGACAGGCAGATTCTTTTCTTGAGGCAAATGAAATGAAAGTACTGGACTTCAGGGCTGATGGTAGATGAGATTCACATTTTGACCATAGATAAGGTACAGCAGAGGAATGCTGGTTTCAGGAATCCTCTAACAGGTTCATTTGAAGCATGGGAATGATGGATTCCCACTTACCCGTAGTCTGGTCCCATTAATTATCTAATACAAAACATAGGGAACCTATTCCTCTCGGCAATGCAGTGATATCCATAACGTTGATAGTTTCTTTCTCTGTAATTTCCCTGAAAATTAACATCTCTGGTTTGGTGAATATGC